GTGCTCTGGTTGCCTTTGTGGACACCACAGCACTCAGCATGGAGTCAGAGCTGCTGCAAAGTGATGTTCGGCTCCCTGGCCTCGTGTTATGCCTCATGTTGCAGTACTTCCAGACTGCCCACATGTTGCTGCAGCAGGACAAGGACCAGAACCTCCAGGATGAACCGTAGTCCCTGCTCAGCCAGATCCTGTAGCTTCTGCTGTTGCACATGCCCCTCAATCCCCTGGACTACCACTTCTGGTGGCGGGAGATGATCTTGGACTGGTGGGTCCGCATAGTCATACAGGTGTGGGACAATCAGAACTTCTGCATTTGCAAGACCACTTCCTGGAGCTCTGTGAGTGGCTCACCCCTGCTCTCAGGTGATAGGACACCTGCATGTGACCCACCATCCCCCTGCAGACACGCATGGCCATTGCCTTCTGGAAGTTCACACACCGGACAGCTATCACTCCATCAGGAACCAGTTCATCATGGAGAAAATCCACAGTTGGAACCAGGCTCCTGCAGGTAGTGAAAACCATCCACCAGGTGCTGCTAAGGAGGGTTGTCCCTCTGGGTAATGTGGACAGCATCCTGGATGTCTTTTCCACCATTGGCTTCCCCAGCTGTGTGTGTGTGTCGGGGGGGGGGGGGGGAATAGATGGCACATACACCCCCATCCTAGCCCCAGATCACCGGTCCTTGGTCTTCATCAACAGAAAGGGGTACTTCTCCAAAGTGCTGCAGGCCCTCATGGATCACAAGGGATGCTTCATTGACATCAATGTCAGCTGGTCAGGAAAGGCACATGATGCCTGCATCTTTCGGAACGTCTGCCTGCTCTGAAAGATGCAAGCCGGCGTTTTTTTCTCCGGCCACATCATCAGAGTTGGAGAGCTGGACTGACCCATCGTCATCCTGGGTAATGCAGCCTAAGCTTTGCTCCCTGACACGGGCAGCCTGAACCCCAGCAAGGAACAGGTCAGCGCTTGGCTGGGCATGTGCTGAATGGTGGTGAAATGTGCATTTGGCTATTTGAAGGGAAGGTTCAGGAATCTCCTCACTTGTCTGGACCTCAGTGAGCAAAGTCCCCTTCATCATGGCAGCCTGTTGTGTGCTCCTCCAGCAGCATGAGAACATGGGGGAGACTTTTCTGCCAGTTTTGGGGAGGGGCTGAGGCTAAATGTCTGGCCAGGGAGTTTGAGCAGCCGAACATCAGTGCCATCAGGAGAGCACAGCAAGGGTATATCTACACTACATGGCTCCGTGGAGCCACGTAGATGAGCTTTGTAGACATAGTGAAATGAAGTGGCAATTTAAATAATCGCCGCTTTATTTACATCAAAATGGCTGCTGCGCTGTGCCAATCAGCTTCAAAAGCATTTGTCGACCGCCCCGTTATGCCTTGTGGGATGAGGTTTACCAGGGCGGTCGACAAAGGCTTTTGATGTCGACTGCCGAGCGCCAAGACTACCACACTGAGCCGACAAACAGCTGATCGGCACAGCGCAGCAGCCATTTTGACGTAAATGAAGCGGCAATTATTTAAATCACCACTTCATTTTGCTATGTCTACAAAGCTCATCTACATGGCTCCATCGATGGAGCCATGTAGTGTAGATATACCCTAAGGGGCTGTGCTCATCGGAGAGGTCTTGAAGGACAGTTTCATGCAAGGCCAGTTCTGAGACTCTCCCCATGTCTCTCAACAAGGGGCCTGTGCATTCCCTGTGTGCCTTTCATCCCCACTCCTCCCTTCCCCTGCACTCCCTTCCCAACTCCCCCCCATCCCCTTCACAGCAATCTATAAAGACATTGTTATTGAAAAAACAGGAATCTTAATTGGAGGGACGTAATACAGGAACAGAGTAAGGAAACTGGAATGGAGGAGGGGGACTCAGGGATGGGTCTGGGACTGGTTCCTGCCTTTGGGTGACCTGGGTCTCCAGCTGCCCTAGAGGGCCCACCACCCAGTATTCTTGGGCCCTAGAAGCCCTTGGGGATCTTTGGAGGGGAAGCCACCCAGCAGGCAGGCAAGTGGCTGGTAGCCCATTTCATGCACGATGCCATTAGCTTCGTCACCGAGGCAAGGGAGGAGAACATGGTGTTGTGCTGCCACACTAGCTCTTCCCACATGGCCTTCCTCTCCTCCTGGGCAGCCTGGCATTCCTCCTAGTCGGCAGCCTGCTCCTGGTACTCTGCCTTGAGTCCCTAGATGAGGGACTGCAGGCAGACCATCCGCTCCCTCATGATCTCCTCCCGGGTGCCTTTCTGCCTGCTGATCCCACTCAGCTGGGTAGGTGGAGTGGAAAATGGGGGATGCACCAAGCTTGCAGCTGTCCCAACTCTGAAGAAAAATTAAAAGGGCAGTCACCACAGGAGAAACTGTGCATGAAGCCTAGCCCTAATCTCTGAGCTGTCACCGAAGGTCTCGATTCAGATGATGGTGATGTGCTTTGAGCATAACTATTTCATAATTAGTGTTATTCCCTGAAGAAAGCAGGAGTACAGATTTTGAAATAAGCAGCCCGTTATTTTGAAATCACAGACTTGGTAGTGTAGATGCTCTCCTTATAATTCTGACCTAAGGGGGGTTATTTGAAATAATGCCCTAGTGTTGACCTGGGCTCAGAGATTTGTCTATATAAACATTAGTGTGCACTGCGCTGGGGTGTAATCCTGTAGAACACTAGCTTGCCACTTACTCACTGCCTGTGTTGAACCTACTATTGTGCTCTAAAAGGTGCCTAGTGCTCTTGGATCAATTCCATTTTGAAGTGGGGGTAGGCCATTGTGCACTAGGGAACTATTAGTGCAGAGTAGCAGGGCCCACACAGACAGCTAGTGTGTGTGGCTAAACTAGTATGCTGGAGATTTACACCCCAGCTTGTCATACACTAACTTCATCTTGACTACCCCCAGTACTTTTGTAATAAAGATTGATGGCTTAAGGTCTTTAGAGATTTGTAAAAGAAAGGTCATCACCACTGTTTCTATTGAAGGCATCAGACGATTTGTTAAATCATTATTTGTATAAAAATTGAGATTGAAATATTAATGTTAGTTCCATGGTAGGACAGTAAAAATGGATGGAAACTTGCTGAGTGGGTAAAAGCAAAATGGATATTGGGTAACCAGTAGACCAACAGTAGTAAGGAAGGGAGAAAGAAGGAAATGGTGTCCTTTATGATTTTGTTCAGGTGAGACATAAGAACATAAGAATGCCTGCACTGGGTCAGACCAAAGGTCCATCTAGCCCAGTAGCCTGTCTTCCGACAGTGGCCAGTACCAGGTGCCCAGAAGGGGTGGACTGAAGACAGTGATCAAGCAATTTTTCTCCTGCCATCCTTCTCTAGCCTTTGACAAACAGAGGCTAGGGGCACAATTCCTTACCCTCTGGCTAATATCCTTTTATGGACCTAAGCTCCATGAATTTATCTAGCTCTTTTTTTAACTCTGTTATAGTCCTAGCCTTCACAGCCTCCTCTGGCAATGGGTTCCACAGGTTGACTACATGCTGTGTGAAGAAGAACTTTCTTTTATTAGTTTTAAACTGACTACCCATTAATTTCATTTGGTGTCCTCTAGTTCTTCTATTTACGGAACTAATAAATAACTTTTCTTTATCGGCCCTCTCCACACCACTCATGATTTTATAGACCTCTATCATATCCCCCCTCAGTCTCCTCTTTTCTAAACTGAAAAGTCCCAGTCGCTTTAACCTCTCCTCATATGGGACCCGTTCCAAACCCCTAATCATTTTAGTTACCCTTTTCTGAACCCTTTCCAAGGCCAAAATATCTTTTTTGAGGTGAGGAGACCACATCTGTACACAGTATTCCAGATGTGGGCGTACCATAGTTTTATACAGGGGCAGTAAGATATTCTGGGTCTTATTTTCTATCCCTTTCCTAATAATCCCTAGCATCCTATTTGCCTTTTTGACCGCCGCTGCACTCTGTGTGGAAGTTTTCAGAGAACTGTCCACGATAACTCCAAGATCTCTTTCCTGATTTGTCGTAGCCAAATTAGCCCCCATCATACTGTACGTATAGTTGGGGTTATTTTTCCCGATGTGCATTACTTTACACTTATCCACATTAAATTTCATTTGCCATTTTGTTGCCAAGTCACTCAGTTTGGTGAGATCTTTTTGAAGCTCTTCACAGTCTGCTTTGGTCTTGACTATCTTGAACAGTTTAGCATCATCCGCAAACCTTGCCATCTCACTATTCACCCCTTTCTCTAGATTGTTTATGAATAAGTTGAATAGGATTGGTCCTAGGACTGACCCTTGGGGAACACCACTAGTTACACCTCTCCATGGGGTAGAATTGGCTTTTCCTTTTGGATAGCTATCTGGTCTTCAGACTCAGGTTATTTGTAGCCCACTGCTAAATCCTAATGAAGTTACAATTATGAGAAACACACTGAAAAGCAATAGCATAATCAAAACCACTATACAATTCTTATGCTAGGAATCATGTTTTGCGTTTTATTATACTCATAAAGTTGAACACACTGGAATAGTTGAAAAGCAAATTCAACTGTTTGAATTGGAAAAAGCTAGCTTGGTTCTTCTAAGAAAGTAATGTCAACATCGATGTCTACTTTTCTAGACCATGGACTGAATTCTTCCCTCAGCAGTCTGTGTGTGTTATTTCTATTTCTAAGCTGTGATTGACCTAACTACTTTGGTAAAGAAATATGCTACCAGTACAATAGAGTAGGTACATTATGTAGATTGTAAAAAGAAATTAGACAAGGAAGAAAATGCTACTCCCTCACTATTACAATATACGTACAATTCCATTAATGGTTAAACACTACATATAGTTTGACAACTGTTACTTGTGACCTTTAAAAAAAGTGAGGAGGGGAGCTCAACAAATAAATATAAGACTATTGGTGTGAAACATTTCCATATACAATGTCTTTCTAAATAGAAAATGTTGAAGTTAGAGTCCTTTTATTGTAATAAACAGTTTATTTTCCCTCTTGGTTTCCCTTGTCGCAGATACTGCAATGAGCACTTGCTGTGCCCGCCACATATGTTTTGGACAGGCTGGGGACCGTGGGAACGTTGCACTGCTCAGTGCGGGGGAGGGATTCAGGCCCGTCGCAGGACATGTGAGAATGGCCCCGATTGCCCTGGCTGCAATGTGGTGAGTACCTTCTGTGCCTTCCCATCAACAAACACTTGCATGCTTTGCAAACATTTTGATCCATGTTTTTATGTTACTGAGAGCACTTCATGTTTGTGAGTGAGAGGGTGCTCTTTTACAACTTTAGCTAGATGACAGATCTCTTAAAGGAAAGTCGTTACCGGTAGGGATTTGTCATAGGCATATTTATTTTATTGCAAACTAAGAGAAAAATACGCTTATTTTGTTCTAGTCGGAATGCTATAAAAGAAGGAGAGAAATATGGGTTATCACATATTGGACCAATTCTTAAGTTTCCTAAGTTCAGAAGGTAAACTTGATAATTGTGAAGTTTGTCATTGACTATGAACTTTTACTTGGACCTCCAGCAGGCCTGTTGAAAACATAATAAAGGGTAATTTATCATCTTTTTTGTTTTGTTTCTTCATATGGCTTTGCTCTGTTGCTTTTGACATTTATACCACAAGTGACATTTCACTTTTGCAAGCAGATTGAACACTTTCAAAGGGTTTCTTCTCTTTCCTTGCCTCAACTTTATAAATTAACCAAACAGTCTTAAATTCTGCTAAGACTTCCAAAATATTTTACTTCTAGTGATGATAGGTTCAAAGGAAAATCTATGACATGATGTTTCAGTGACTGTCACAGAGAAGTTAAAAATGTAATCTGTGATTTTTCCATATAGCTCTTTCCTAGTAATTGCGTATTAACAGTATGTGATTCCTAAGGCTGAACAGTATTTTGAATTTCATATTATCTGTTCATGGTCACAAATGAAAATTGCATCCCCCAGATAGCCTAGGGAAATTCCCTGAGATAGGAAGAACATTATGAGGTGCTTTGTCAGATCTTAGAAGTAACCCAATAAGATTATTGTTATTGGGATTTGCAATCTGATTTCCACCATCACCATCATTCTTAAAATGTTATACAATTAAAGCATGGTCTAGTATATTCCCACCGATCCTTCCCAGTTCAGCTACTGCATGCTGACAGCTTTTTGGTTTAACTCTTTCAGTAAAACAGTTTTATCTCTGTGTGTCCCTCAAACAATCAAATATAGGATCATACACATGTAGAGCTGGAAGGCGCCTTGAGATGTCATTTGCCTCCACTGCATTAGCCTGCACCGTAAAACATCTCTGAAGTTGTTTGTCTAACCTGTTTGTAGGAAAACCTCCAATGATGGGGATTCCACAACCTCCCTTGAAAGCTCATTCCAGCGCATAACTATCCTTATAGTTTAGAAAAGTTTTCCTAACATCTCCCTTGCTGCAGATTAAACCCATTCCTTCTTTTCCTACCTTCAGTGGAAATGGAGAACATTTGATCATTGCACTCTTTATAACAACTCTTAACATATTTGAAGACTGTGATCATAGCCCCACTCAGTCTTTTCTAAGGATTTTCTCAGGATCTTTTGGGTTTTTTAGCCTTTCCTTATCTGTCATATATCCTAACCCTCTTAAAATCATTTTTTATCTCTTCTCTAGACTCTTTCTGATTTGTCTATCTATTTCTTACAGTGCAACACCTAGAACAGGACACTCTACTCCAACTGAGACCTCACCAGTGCTTGACAGTTACCTCCCAAGCAAGGTTTCCTCTAAGCTACACAGCAGCAAAGCCTCGGAGTTGCTTAATCAGCCCAACCCAGCCAGACAGCTCAGTACACAGAACCCTGAGCCCCTGACTGGGGAGGGGAGGCAATTAAGCCGCTCTGGGGTTGTGCTGCCGCGCAGCTTAGAGGGATTCTTGCTCCCAAGCCTTAATTTATGACGCTCCTGTTAATCCACCAAACAACGGTATTAACATTTTTGGAGATGCACCGAATTGTTGACTCGTATTCAATTTGTGATCCACTATAAAGCTCTGATACTTTTCAACAGTTACTACTGCTACTGCCTAGCCAGTTATTTATCTCCCATTTCATATTTGTGTATTTGACTTTTTTCCTTCCTTAGTATAGTGCTTTGCATTTGTCTTTATAGTATTTTGTCTTGTTGAGTCCTGCCAGAAGGATAGGAGACACTGGAGGTGATTTTAATTAGAATGCAATGCAACTTCATTGTTACATATCTGAAAGTAGCTGGCAGATACAATTGTGCAGAGCAGGAAATTGCATGTACATTTCCATGTACTCAGGGGCTGCCATCATCTCTCCCCATGTCCAGTCCTGGTCCCACCTATCCTGCAGCTCGGACCCTGCCCCCTCATATAATGGTTATTGGGGAGACTATAAAAAAGGGGGAGTTGACTTCCCATTGTACCAGTCATAGGAGTCCCAAATCCCCTTTCTCTTTGCTTCTTTAAAGGATGTCTCCTTCAAATCCTTTACTAATCAATGTTCTCTTATCACCATATCCATTCGTTATGGACTATCTGCACTACATCTGCCGCAAGCTTACCTAATGAGTTGTGACATTATAACCAAGCCCACGACCCTTCCCTATACCAGTAGGTCTGTAACCAGCTGTGGGGAAGCCAAACCTTGGCTTGGCAAATCTGGCAGTCAGGGAAAATTCCGTCCTAGCCCCCGTGCTCCCAAGAAAAAGAATGACTGCTGTAATAGCCACAATGGGTAATTATGAGACCTGGTATTTGAACTATTTCCATGAATGAGAGGGTGAGTTCTGCTATCCTAGTCTGGATTAAAGAAGGGTTTTCTGATACTACCTTGAGTATAAATATCCTACCTCTCTTTGAGTCAGGTGGGGTGGGGGCAGCATCCTTTACTTGCTAATCTGGTCCAGCTTTTTGGAGGAGTACAGGATCTTTCGAAAAAGCCTGCCATTTTCGAAATAACCGCATCTAGACTACGGCTTTGCTTTCAAAATGGAGTTTTTTCAAAAGAGCGACATTACGCGATTATGCAAATGAAGCACAGTTTTGTTGCTGATCATCTGCTTGTGTCCCTTTGTTTTCTATGTCTTTGCTTTCTTGGCTGCTGAGACAACTACAGGATAAATTCATTCTTCATAGTCTTCACTGATAGGCTTGTTGATCTTATACTCAAAGTCCATTTCATCATTTCCTGTGCAAATGCCTTTTCAGGAAAGAATCATTTTTAATTTGATTTCTGGCTTCTCTTAATTTGGTGTTTGCATGCATTGTTAACTCATAGATTTAAGAGCAACATACAATGGTCTGTTGATTCATTTTATGATTATCACTGCATCGTTGAAGATTGCTCTGTTATCCGTCAATAAATAACTAGTCTGATTTAGTGTGACTCTGGGCTTTTCTAAGTCCCCTTCTGATGTACTTTTTGAAATATCATATTCATTATGTAGACATGTTTTGCCTCTACAATGCAGTGAGACTTGCTCCACGATCAGTTCTTACACTTCACTGAATTTTTCCACTTACTTTTTCTTCTCGCTTTCCTTTCCACTTACTACTCCACTGAAATCCTCTTGAATGATTGTGTAGGTGGATCTTTTCTGCTTTGTTCTCTCCAGTTCTTCAGACACCTGGAAACATTCCATTTCTTCATCTTTCACTTGCTGCATGGGAGCATACAGATGAATAATTTTAATCATTCTCCTTTGTTTTAGATGACATGTGAGAACTGCTGTACAGGGTGATACGATGTCATAACTGATTATTCTTGGAACTGTCTTTCTTGACAATGAATCTGGTGCCTCTGGTCCTTGTTCTATTATTGAATGATCTTCCTAGGAATGCTTGCTCTCCAGTTCTCCATTCTGCAATGAGGTTTTTTGTTTTTCCTGCTTTGCATATCCCAATAACATCTGGTTTACCAAATTTGTGACTTCGATTTAAATAATGGTGTATGAATCAGATGATTGTCGTCTTGTGTTATAACTTTACAATAAATCATTGGACTGCTCTTTTAGCCATTTCTCTTTTATGTCCTGTTCTACACCTGGGAGGGTATGTTTAAACTAGCTCATTAGTTTGAGCTAGGTAGGGTAATTAGGGCAAGCGGAGTTGCAAATGAAGCCCGGGATTTAAATATCCCGGGCTTCATTTGCATGTTCCTGGGCATCGCCATTTTTAAATCTCCTTTAGTCCGAACTCCGTGCCCGCGGCTACACGCGACACGGAGTAGGTAGTTTGAATTAAAGATCATAATTCGAACTACCGTTACTCCTCGTGGAATGAGGAGTAATGGTAGTTTGAATTAGGATCTTTAATTTGAACTACCTACTCCATGCCGCATGTAGCTGCGGGCACGGAGTTTGGACTAAGGGGGATTTAAAAATGGCGGCACCCAGGAACATGCAAATGAAGCCCGGGATATTTAAATCCCGGGCTTCATTTGCAACTCCGCTTGCCCTAATTACCCTACCTAGCTCGAACTAACGAGCTAGTGTAGACATACCCAGAGAGACATAATTGAACTGATTTAAACTCCAGTATAGACACAGTCTGATGGACAAAATAACTCTTCCAATTAGTGATGGAAAACGACCTTTTATTAAAACAGTATCTACAGCTAAAGCATCATAGCTGTAGCTCTGACCCCAAAGTGCTTCTAGTGTAGACAAAGCCTTAAGCACAAAAAAAATGAAGCATAAACCTTCATTAGAAAGAGGAAAGGATTTTATATGCATAATATTTGGTATATTTTTATAACTTGCCAAATAAAATGGGAGAATTGTAGAATTGATTTGCCTGAGATACAGGCAATGACTTAAATTTAAGCAAAGTGAATTTCCTTTCAGAAAGAAAAGATGATAAAGTAGGCCCATAAGTGCAACCGATACCTGAGGGCAATCTTTTGAAAACGTATTTAAAACAATTGTTCTTACTTGTGGTAGAAAGTATCTGTTTCTCTCCTACTGTTAATCATTATTACAAAAGTTTTATTTACACTAAACCAGAGTCATTTCTCTTTTATAATTCTATTCTTCTGTCTCTTTATTCCTCACCTCAAGTTATTCTCCTTTGGGTCTGACACCATAATTTTCATCACAGAAAATGCACAGTAAGGTTACAATATATGTACCCTGAATTGTTTCTGAAGACAGTAT